AGAATACATTGTTAAAAATTAAATTTAATACGTATATGTGTATGTGTATATGTTTTTGTATATATAGATAGAATATGATATGATAAAATATTATATAAAAATATCTATAATATTATAAGTTTAAATAAAGTCATTATAAATTTTTTGAGAGAAAATTTACATAGTATATATAAAATAAATATTGACATGATTACGACGGTACCTGAATATTTGAGTACATAAGATTTCAAAATTATTATTATTATTATTATTATTATTTTTATTTTTAAGTAATTTGAGTACAAAAGATTTCAAAAACAATATTATTTTTTAGTTACCATAAAAAAAAATTGTAGGCATACAATTACACATTATATGCAGATTTATTAATTTTACAAATAAAATAGTATTTATCTTATATCTAACTGAGATTAAAATAAAATTATTATCTAAAAGGTAACAAACTTCACATTTAAAGGGCAACATTCAATGCTGCCAAATTTAATGGTAGAAAAAATGTTAATATATTTTGATTATTTGACGATTTCATAATTTTCGTAGGTGTATATTAATTTTTGTGAAAATATTTGCCAAACAAAATAATTGAATAAGCGCAATCAAAACATAGTTGCCCTATTTAATGGTAGTTGTTGTTTGAGTGTTTTTCTCTTGTTGAGGTTCTAGGTCGCCTGCGAGCGTGTCCTCTCATTTCTCTCAGTTCCGGTTATTTAGTCTGTCAGTTGTATTGGATCTCAGTTTATCTTTGAGTTTATATATATGCATCTATCGTTTCGGAAAAAAAAAAGTAAATTTTTATTATTAAATCAACCATAATATTTGTATCCAAAAAAAAAGGTGAATGAGTGGTTTCTGTTACAAAAAAGTTTTTTGATTTTGTGAAAATGAAAAAGGTAAGTCTGCAACTAAATAAACAACCTCTCCACTTTTTTAGCCCAACATTTATCTCTCATCTGTTTTTTCATTACAAAAAAAATGCTCTCCACTTTTTTAGCCCAACATCTATTTTTTATCTGTTTTTTCATTACCAAAAAAAAAAAAAGAAAAAAAGAAGTTGCTATTGATAGCATGTAATAAATGCATACTGAGTTTGACCAGAGTTTGACCTGCTATTTTTTAAAAATGATAAATCTTATTATATATATATATATAGATATAGAAAAATTTTAGATAATTTTACATATGTTAATATAATATTTTAGGAGTTTTTAATTGTTT